ATAAGATATTAAAATAAAAACTATTAAAATGAGAATTAAAGATTTCATATCAAAAGAAGTGCGGATTAAAAGTTATAAAATTAATTAAAAAAATGTCTTCAAAAGCGAATTTTTTAGAGGATTTTTTTACAGTGACAAATTTTTTAGCTAAACCTTTATATGGTCTTTTTGTTCATAATAAACAATTATTAAAGTTAATGAAAAGATATGCACGTTTATACTTTAAAAAAAGTTATATGATTATATTATTAAGAATAGAAGTTTATAAAAATGATAATTTTTTTATATTAATAAGAATTATTAAGGTGAATATTAAAGATATCATATTGAAAAAAATAAAAATCAAAAGTAATATAATTGTTTTCTTAGATAGTAAAATAAGAAATATTAAGGTGAAAGTTCATGATTTTATACTAAAAAAAAGAACTCAAAGTAATAGAGTTTTTCTTATATATTAAAATAATAACTATTAAAATGGAAATTAAAGTTTTGATAATAAAAAATAAGAATTATTAGTAATAGAATTTAAAATGGTGAAAGTTTAAGCAATAAATTACAATTTAGAAATAAGGTTAAAAAATGAATAGCATTCTTAGCATGGCACATCACATAAGCAAATAGTAGCATGGCTATTGAGGTGAGAATCAAAAATTTCATACAAAAGAAAGTAATAACTAAAATTTATAAAAGTTAATAAAAATATCTTGAAAAAAGATTTTTTTTTTATAGGGACATTCTTTTTTGCTAAGATTTTATATGGGCATTTTATTCATTTTTATTATAAAGTATTATAAAAGTTAATGAAACATATTTTTTTTAAAGTTATATCACTATATTATTAATAATAGAAATTTATAAAAATGAATTGAATTTTTAGATATTAAAATAATAACTGTTAAGGCAAAAATTAAATATTTCATAGAAGAAAAAAGAATATATAAAAATAAGAACTATTAAGGTGAATATTGTAAAAAGAATGAACAAATATTTTCAAAAGGGAATTTTTTAAGTGAATAATTTTATAGGGACAATTTTTTAAATAAGATTTTATATGGTAGTTTCGTTCATTTTTATTATAATAAATTATAAAAGTTAACGGATTTTTATTAAAAGTTACATCATTATATTATTAAAATAATCACTATTTTATTAAAAATAGAAGTCTATAAATATGAATTTTTTTTGTACATATTAAAATAAAAACTATTAATATAAAAATTAAATATTTCATATTAAAAAAAATCTTATTAAATAAATATTTATTTATTATTAACTAAAATCACTCATTTCCATAATTTAAAAGTTTATTTTTTATTAACTAAAACCATCGATTCTCATAATTTAAGGATTGATTTATTTATTAATTTTCTAAAATTATGGCGAATTTATTTATTTATATCTTAAAATTGTGGATTTGAAAAACCATTAGGTCAATATTTTAAAATTTAAGCATTTTTTGCAGGATAATTAAGGTATTCTTCAATTATGTTATCTTATTATTGTTAATATTTTATAATTTATCTTTTGTTTTTTATTTTTTTTTTAATTATCATTTTTTATTAAAATAAATTATTTAATTTAATTTAAAAATAATATTTAATATATAATAATTATAAATAATAATTTAATAAAATTTACCGTATATCGCACAGGTGGACATTTAATAATAATTAAAATAATATAATTATTTTTTAAGATATTAAAATAAGAGTAATTAAGTTTAAAATTCAAGATTTCATATTTTTAAAAAAACAACAAGAATTCAAAGTAATAGAGTTTTTTTTTAGTTAGATAGTAAAATACAAACTATTAAGATGAAAGTTAAAGATTTTATAATTAAAAAAACAAGACTTAAAAGTAATAGAATTTAAAAATGTGATAGTTAAAACCATAAAATAAAGAATATTCTTAGCATGATGGCACATAAGCAAATGGTAGCTTAGCATGACACATAAGCAAATGGTAGGTTAGCTATTGATGTAAGAATTAAAGATTTCATTAAAGAAAATTTAGAATTAAAAGTTATAAAAGTTTAAGAAAAATATCTTCAAAAGAAATTTTTTTTATAGGGACACTCTTTTTTGCTAAGATTTTATATGGATATTTTATTCATTTTTATTATAAAATATTATAAAAGTTAGTAAAAAATACTTTCAAAAGTTACATCTTTATATTATTAATAAAAAGTTTATACATATGAATTGTTTTTTATATATTAAAATAAGAACTATTGAGATGAAAATTTAAGATTTCATACTAAAAAATAAAAAGAAACTAAAATAAGAGCTTTTAAGGTGAGAATTAAAGAAAGATTTCTTTTCTTGTTATGGAGGAAAAACGTTTTCAAAAAAGAAAATAAATTGCATGTATTAAATAGAATAAATACATAATTAAATAAATTATTATAAAATTTTAAATTTAAAAAATGAATAGCCGAGGTTTTAGATAATTAGAATCGGCTCAAAAATATAACCTAAGATAAAAATATAAATAAAATCCTAAAAAATCTAGCATCAATAAAATTAGAGGTTTATTTTTAAATTTAGTTATTTTTTAACAATATTAAACAACACAAAAATAAAAAAGAAATATCATCATGAGATTGATTGATTTTAAAGATAGATTTATAATGAAAGAAATTAATAAAACATATTTTATGTGATGTAAAATAATTAATATTTATAAAATTATTACTTTTTATTAAATTAAAATAATAAATTTGATACTTAACATAATATGAGAGTCAAATCACAGCTTATTTGTCATCCCATAAACCAGTGATGTCCTTAGACTCATTAGTAAAAAAAAAACTAGCAAAATACTTCGCGCGCGCGCGTGTGTATATATATATATATATATATATATATATATATATATATATATATATATATATATATATATATATATATATATATATATATATATATATATATATATATATATATATATATATATATATATATATATATATATATATATATATATATATATATATATATATATATATATAATTATAAAATAAATAATTATAATATAAATTTAATTATATTAAATAATTATAAAATAAAAAAGTCTGTAAAATGAGGAGAGGAAAAAAATTTGATATTTGAAAAATAAAGATTTTGTGGCTCAAATAAAGTCAGTTATTAATTAAAGTAAAATAGGTGTTTCGTTGAAAGTGACTTATGAAAAATAAATAAATTTTAATATTTTGAAAAATAAAAATTTTGTGTCTCAAATAAAAGTAATTGTTAATTAAAATAAAAAATATATTTTTCTGATAGTGTCTTGTGAAGAAAGAAAATTTTTTAACATTTGAAAATAAGAATTTTGTATATCAAATAAAGGTAATTTTAATTAAAATAAAATAGATATTTTACTGATAATTTCCCGTGAGAAAAAGATAAACTTTGACATTTGAAAATAAGAATTTTATGTCTCAAACAAAAGCAATTGTTAATTAAAATAAAATTAAAATAAAATAGATATTTTAGTGATAGTAACTTGTGAGAAAAATAATTTTTGACATTTGAAAATAATATTTTTATATCTAAAATAATAAAAAAAATTAATCAAAATAAAATATATATTTTTATGATAATTTGTGAATTGAAAAATTAGTTTTGTGGATGACTATTTACTAAATGTCAACATTATATATATTTATACACCAATAAATAATTAATATGATAATCATATATTATAATTATATATTTTGATATATTGAAAATAATTAGGAGAAAATAAAATAATTAAGTAAAAAAGATAAAATAATAAAATAACTTTTTAATAATTATAAATTATTTTTGAATAACTATGAATAATTTTTTTATAAATATAAAACAATTATGTTTTTACATTGAAATTAAATTTTGTGTTTTAAAAATTCAACATTTTCTATGTTTTTTCAGTACATTAAAGAATGATTTAATTTTTTTAATTTATACTTAAATAAAAAAAAGTGAAAGTAAAATTAAAAATGAAAGTCAAAAAGTGTCAGAGAAAAATGTGAAAGAGATTTAAATTTTGAATGAAAAGAGAACGAAAAGAAAATGAAGAAAGAATGTCGTAGTTAAAAAATAGGCTTAATTGTAATTTTGGTTTAAAAAATCGGTTTTTATAGTCTTTCTATTTTTATTTTTTTGAGGATTTTAGTCTCCCTTCATATAATCTTGTCAACAAATAGCCCACAACTATGTTCAATAGATGAAATTGAACTTATCAACCCTTTAGTCATGATGAGAGATATTGATCGCTCAAAAAAGATTTGTAACAAGGTAAATAATGAGCATAAAAACAAAAATACTTTGCTCAAATTACTTCAAACTGTGAAATGTCAAAAATACAGAAATATGAGACAGAACAAGCGAACATGCAAAGTTAAAGAAAGATCGAGAGAATAATACGTAAAGAGCAATAACTAAAACTCTACTATTACCATTGCCTTGTCATTAAAATACTCTTAAATTTGAAAGGGACTAAAATCCTAAAAAAACAAAATAAAAAGATTACACAAACTAATTTTTAAAATAAAGGGATCAAAATAAAAAAAAAAAAAGAAGATAATATAGAGACCAAATTACAATTAAAAAAATAAAGAGAGAAACATAATGAGTAAAAAAAAAATTGAAATGAGTGAAAAAGAAGTATGGAAGCGAGACAAGTGTCAATGTAAGAAAGGATTTTGAATTTAAAGATTGACGACGTGGCAAATTATCATAAGTTAATTGGAACAATTAATTTTGACATTAAGAATTGACTATAGTACCCTTTTGATAACATAAATCATTAAAACAATAAAGATATTATTGAGAGAGTGTATCAGCATCATTTTAATAAATTGATAGTTGATGTTGAAGATAATGTATATCAATATCATAAATACATTAAAACCTTTTTTTTTTTTTAAATCTTTTTGGAGTCGTATTGTAGCCTTGTAGCCTTATTTATATGTTGTTTTGCCAAGCTTATAAACCAAATTATTGAAGATGGAAACTTCAATGGTTTATTTGATGATTGGCATTATGTCTTTCTTGTTTTTCTCTCATGTTATGGGTAGTCTTGAATTTGATTACAATACTAAACAAAAAGTTGATCGTGTTCTGCCGTCAGAATCCAGTCTTATAATATCTAATCCATCACAACCACAATTTCATAGATTAAAAAATTTGTATTTTAGAATGTTTTCAAAAGGTGTTATTATTCCGCCGTCAGGACCAAATCCTAGAACATCTGATTCACCACCACCACCTCATAGATTTGAAACAACAAATACTAAACATTCTAGTTTGTATTTTAGAATGTTACCGAAAGGTGTTATTATTCCACCGTCAGGACCAAATCCTAGAACATCTGATTCACCACCACCACCTCATAGATTTGAAACAATTAAGTACTAAGCATTCTAGTTTGTATTTTATAATGTTATCAAAATGTGTTATTGTTCCACCGTCAAGACCAAATCCTAGAACATCTTATTCACCACCACCTCCGAGATTCAAATTCTGATGAAAGTTAGAAAAAAAATAAAAGTGAGGAAAAAATAAAAGGGATAGAATGCTTGTAACTTTATTGTTTATTTAATAATAATTATGATTATAATCATTGTTTTGTTTATTTAGTTTGGTTTAATGTTATGAAATGTGATCAATATAGTGATGCTTTTTCTTCTTCAAAATACTTTTTTTGTTGTTGAATAAAACAGGGTAAAAGTCCATGAAATAGAGAAGCTACAACATTATCATATGGAGATTTAAAAAAATAATGATTAATTTATGTTAGATTCAATTTAATTTCTTATTAACAAAATTTTTAAATTTGAGTTTGTACATCACTTAATTTTGTTAAGGTGAAATCGACTTAGTAAAACTTTGTTTTGCTACGTGGTCTCTCTCTTAAGAATAAACTCTCACTTTTTATTAATCATTTTAATAATACTTCTTATTTATTAATTTTAATTTATCAAATTCTATTCTCATTTATCTTCTAACAAAGAATTAAGAAAACAAAAAATCTCTATCTTCTATTTTTAAGATTTAAAATATAAATGGAATTCTAAATTAAAAAATATCTCTTTTTTTTGTTTAATTTTTAAAATATAAATTAGATTTTAAAATAATCTCACTTCTATATTTAAGTTATAAAATATAAATATAAGTAGATTCATTATTTCATTATTTTTTTATTATGTATAACTTAAGAAAAAACTCTCATTTTTTATTAATCCTCTTAATAATAACTTTTATTTTAAAATTTTAAAATATAAATTAAATTTATTATTCCATTATTTTTTATTATTTATAACTTAAGAATGAACTCTCATTTTTTATTAATCCTATTAATAATACTTTTTATTTTTTAGCTTTAATTTACCACATTCTATTCTTATTTAAAGAAGTAAGAAAATAAAAAATCTCTATCTTCTATATTTAAGATTTAAAATATAAATGAAATTCAATCCTGCGACAAAAATATATTTAATTTTTAAAATATAAATTAAATTAAAAAGATATACCAAATGAATGAAATTTTAAATTTTAAAATTGTATATTTATAAGAATAAAACAATCTCTATTTTCTATATTTAAGGTTTAAAATTTAAAAATTGTGTATTTATAAGAAGGATTAAATATATTTTTAGTCCTTATAAATATCTCAAATTTGACTTTTAATCCTATATTATATTTTAATCCTTATAAAATTATTTATGCATGACATTTTAGTCTTTTTACAACGACTAAAACTATGTGCATAGATGATTTTGCGGAGACTAAATATGACATTTTGTTAATAGGAACTAAATATCAAATTTGATAATTTTGTCGGGACCAAAAAAATATTTAACTCTTTAAAAAAATTATTGAATTTTTAAAAATTTTAAATTGTATATTTATAAGAATTAAAAAAATCTCTATAAGAATATAAATACACAATTTTAAAATTTTAAATAGAGATTTTTTTAATTCTTATAAATATATAATTTAAATTTTTTTTAATTTTATTTATATTTTTAAAAATTTCTATAAGATATAAAAATAAATGAAAATTTAAAATTTAAAAATTGTGTATTTATAAGAATTTTATTTTTCTAAAAAAATATACTTACAAAGAAGATTATAATTAAATTAAATATTTAGACTCTACTGAAAAATGAACTTCCATTAATGACGAGACTAAACCTGGAAAAAGAAGAAGGTTATAACTATGTCTAAATATTTTCATTTTCATTTTGTGTGTTTAAAGAAGGTTATTTAGTTGTAACTGTAGAAATGAAATGAAAGGTTTGCATTTTCTTTTTTCTTAATTGTAGATATTTTTATTAATTTTGTAACAATGATTTATTTTATTAATTATATTTAAATATTATTCTTACTAATTTAATCATATGAAGACCTTTTATTTTAGTAATTATGTCTAAATATTGCTCCTATTCTATATTTTAGTTTTAAAATAAAAATTAAATTAAAAAAATAAACCTAATGAATTAAATCTTTCAACCATAAATTTTTAAAAAAATTTAAAAATCTCCTTACAAATAATGTTATAATTATGTCTGAATATTTTCATTTTCATTTTCATTTTGTGTGTTTAAAGAAGGTTTTTTTTTTTTAACTATAGAATGTAATAAGAGGTTTTCATTTTCATTTTTGTAACGGTGGATATTTTTATTAATTTGTAACAAAGATTTATTTATTAATTATGCTTGAATATTACTCCTATTAATTTAATCACATGAAGACTTTTTATTTTGAAGAAAACTTAAGATATAATTTTTTTTTAAGTGTGGTTCTTATTATTTTCTAATGAAAATATGATAAATGTATTTAGATATAATTTAAAAAATGAAAGAAAAAAAATTGAATATATAATATAAGAGAAAATTGTACACGTATGAAAAATTAAAGTGAAAGTAAAAAGACGTGGGAAAAGAAAATGTGAAAAAAAATTTAAAATTTTAATCAAAATAGAGAGAATGAGTGTGTAATTTTTAATGATTCTAATTAAAGTCATTCTCTAAATTTCAAACTCATTTGAAAGTTAAAAGGTCCTCGTAGAATCCAAATTTTCTTTTGGAAATTATTCCTAAGGAAAGATTCTTACTAATGTTGAAAGAAAACACTGACATAACAAATTATGATATTAGAGAATGACACGATTAAGAATTTATAGAATACTTTTATCAACTATGAATGGTGATAATTGGAATATTTTATTTAGTCTTGAAATATCATATTGAGTGAATTTTCATCTTCAATTGTCTTTAGTCGATATTAATCAATGAAATTGGCATACAATCTTTGATATCATTTTTTTTTTTTGGCAAGATATAAACCACCTGGTTTTTGCAAAGACTTCACTTGATACTAAGCAAAATTTAAATAATCTTTAGAGATACCTACACTACATTTATAATCACATTTTCCTTCATCCATCCTCTTATATAGAGCAAAGAAAACATAAAATCAATGTGAAATGGAAACCTCCTCCAACTAATTTTTTCAAACTCAATATTGATGAGTCTTACTTCAATAATGTAAATACTTTCGATTTGTAGGGGTCTCATGAAGAATTTTAAAGAAATTTATGTTAGTGTTTTTTCTTGTAAGTATGGTGGATCAACCTCCATTCCGACCGAGCTCTGAAGTCTAGTTCATGGCTTGAAAATAACAAATAGTTTAAGTTTCTTTTCCTTAATTAATATATCTATTTTTTTAATAAGATTGAATTGAACCAAACAAAATGATATAAAAAAAAGGGAAGATTAAACCAAGACCCTCTCAAGGAGAAATGAACCTAAAGAAAGACAAATCAAACATATTCTTTATAAAATATGTCCTAAAAAACTAGGAATGCAATTGTAGTTAGTGTAATCAGTAATTGTTAGACCTATATTTGTCAGAGAATATGCACAATTGTTCCCTTATCGGAAAATATAAGAAGCTACAAAAGAAATGCTTTTCGTAATATTCACACAATTGACCCATCTGGTACGGATTTGTCAAGGCATAATGAAAGGAGGAGAAAAAGCATGCACCACAGCTAAAGAATCTGATTCTAGCCAGATCTTACTCCAACCCTTTTCATAGCCGAACTCAATAGCTAACATAGCACCGGTGAATTCGACAATGATAGAACTAGAAACACCAATAAAACTAGCAAAGGCTCCAATAAATCTACCATCATAGTCTCTAGCAATATCACCACTAGCAGAGGGACCTGGATTGCCAACTCCGTCACAATTAATTTTGATCCAATTCCATGGGGGGTTTCCAAATGACTTTCATGATCTTAGGAGCATTAGGAGGTTGAATATCGACCCTAAACTTCTTCAACGCCTCAAACTCTTGAATATTGATGAAAGAAGGGATTCTGAAAATATTACCAGCCAAACTACAAACCGAGACAATACCCACTATAGAAGAAGTGGGGGACGTGCAAAGATCTTTAAATCTCACTTTGTTGCGAGCTATCCAAATTGCATTAAACAAGTGAATAACAACAAAATTAAAAAGAATCTTACAATGCACATGCCAAGGTCGGTTCCAATTGCTCCAAATTGTAAGAACAAGATTTGGTTTTGCAATATTATCTCTAAGTTTTGATGATAACAAATGAGTATAATTGTATGAACAATTTTGTTGTACTAATGTTTATTATTGTTGAGTACTTAACAAGTAGATTTTGCTTCTGATGGATAGCGTGGCCAAGATATTAGAAGATAATTGATTCCACTTCTATGCTATAGAAGTTCTGTTGAACAGTAGCACAACACTCCATAAGGCTCTGAAGATTTATCTAAAGAAACTAGTCAGAAGATCTGAGGACAGAAGTTTCCACTTACGTCCAGATGTTGAAGACTCGTGCCTCTAAAGACAACATGTTCTAAGGAAACCGGCCAGAAGATATGAAGACAGAAGTTGTTACTTAAGTCCAGATGCTAAAGGCTCAAGTTTCTAAAGACAATGTGTTTCAAAGAAACAAAGTTATAAGATATGAAGACAAAGGTTCTACTGAAGTTCAGATGCTGAATATGTAATTTCTAAGAAGACAACGTGTATCAAGAAGATAAAGTCAAAAGATCTGAAGACTAAGTTTCTGCTGAAGTCTAGATGTTGAGGACTTGTGTTTCTAATAACAAGATTCTTAAATAGATTTTTAAAGACCAAGTGCTAAAGATTCTAAAGAAGGAAGTTCTGAAGATTCCAAAGACTTGAAGTTCTAAAAGATCCAAAGTTATATACAGTGGATTCTCAAGACCAAGTGTTGAAGCTCTGAAGACGCGGTTCTTAAAGACTCTGAAGACTTGAAGCTCTTCTGGTTCAAGGTTCTCTACAACGGGTTCTCACGACCAAGTGTTAAAGACTCTGAAAATGCAATTCTGAAGACTCTGAAGACTTGA